CCGATTGTTTCTTCCGAACGCCTGGCGTCCGGCAGGCCGCCTACTGTGCTATCAAACTCCACCCCACTAACCACAAGAGAAGCAAAGAACGGTAGGTTGGTGGTGACGGAGGAACCCCAACATGCAAGCCACTGCGTCCTGTATGACCGGCTTACAAACTTTCAAAAACAAAAATTAAGAGTCAGCGGTGCGCATGTTGGGGTTCGTGCTTAACCCCAACCTACGAATCCTGTGAAAACTGCATCTTATGTAAGCGTGCATATAGGCCTTCTTGTTCCAAAAGCTCAGCATGGCTACCTGATTCAACAATGCGACCCGCGTCAATCACGACTATCCGGTCCGCGCGCTCAATGGTGGAAAGCCGATGTGCAATCATCAATGTAGTACGCCCGGCCATCAGTGTTTCCAGCGCTGACTGCACATGCCGCTCTGAAGCTGCATCTAATGCAGAAGTAGCTTCATCCAAAATCAAAATCGGCGCATCTTTATACAGTGCCCGCGCAATAGCCAAACGTTGGCGCTGTCCCCCGGATAATTTCATGCCATTGCCACCAATAACCGTCTCTATCCCGTTTGGCATTGCTGCTACCGCATCTGACAACCAAGCTGCTTGCAAAGCTTTCCATACTTTAGCGGGGTCGGGTGTTTGTCCATACGCTATATTGGCTGCAATAGAATCATTAAACAAAACCACATCTTGGCTTACCAATGCAATCTGCCGGCGCAGATCTGCCAAAACGTACTCTTGCAAAGGCACATCATCTAGCAAAATGCGACCGGCAGTAGGGTCAAAAAAGCGCGGCAATAAGCTTGCCAATGTGCTTTTTCCACTCCCTGATGGCCCCACCAAAGCCACCACCTCACCAGGCTCAACCACCAAAGAAATCTGATCTAAAACTAATGGCAAACTCAGCTCTGCGGGGCTCTCAGTAGCTTTGATATTTTCAGAAGCAGAGGCTAATCCGGATGAGCCATACCTAAAACACACTTTCTCAAAGGTTAATTTTCCGCGAGCACGCTGTATAGGCCGCTCCCCTCCCGTAGACTCCACTCGAGGTTCATCAATCAGATTAAAAATAAACTCGGCTGCTGTCACACCACGCTGCAAAGGCTGGTTTACGTCAATCAAATGTTTTAGAGGCGAAATCAAAAGCAGCATCGCTGTTACAAAGGCAACAAACCCTCCAACCGTGGTTTGATCTGCAACAGACTGCAATACAGCAATAGTAATGACCGCTGCTAGTGCTATAGAAGCGAGTAACTGCGTCAAAGGCTGTGCAAGCCCACCAGACACAATCATGCGCATCGCATAACCGCGAAGACGCTGACTCATCTCCAAAAAACGCCGAAGCTCGTAAGGCTCACCGTTATGTACTTTGACTACTTTATAGCCCCCCACCGTCTCTTCAACCACATAGGTTAATTCATGAGTGAGCTTTTGATGTTCGAAATTGAGGTGGCGCAAACGTCGATTAATTTTCGACATTAACCCACCAATCACCGGGAAAATAATCGCCACCACCAGCGTAAGCCGCCAGTTCAAATAAAAAAGGTAACCTAGCAAAAATAAAACCGTCAATGCATCACGCATCAACGTAATCGCCAAATTAATAAAAATACTGAGAACCTGGTTTACTTCAAAAATAACTGCATTAATCAGCGAACTAGCCGTTTCTGCTTGAAAAAAAACGGCATTAGCTTGCAAAATGCGCTTAAACATCTGTACACGCAAATTCAGCGAAATACGATTAGAAGCCAAGCCCAGCAAATAGTTCGATGCATATTGCGCACCACCGCGCACCACCGCCAAACCAATCACCGCCAGCGGTACAAACCACTTTAGATGCCCAATGCGCTCTTTCGCCTTAAAACCCTGATCTAACAAAGGCTTTAAAAGCGCAGGAATACACGCCTCCGTTGCCGCCACCAAACCCATCGCACAAACAGCAAACAGCAGCACCTTCCAATGCGGGCGCGCATACCGCCATAAACGCAATAAAACCGAAGAGGCGGGCGAAGTGCCTCGTTCCATTGGCGTGTCCGAACCTTCTTTAATAGAAGGCTTCGAGTGTTTATATGTGCTCATTCCACTCTTTAAAAAATTTAAAACCTGCATATGCAGGTCAAAAGCGATAGTTACAGGTCAGCCCTACCCCACAAGCTCAATCTGTATTCAAAAGATGCTTTTTATCCTTCACATCCTTCCATTGATCCGCATCAGGCAAAGACTTCTGTGAGCGCGTAATCGTAGGCCACTTAGCCGCCAGTTCCACATTAATTTTAATAAACGCCTGCTGATCCCCTGGCACATCTTCCTCAGCATAAATAGCCTCTACCGGGCACTCAGCCACACACACCGCGCAATCGATACACTCATCCGGATCAATCGCCAAAAAATTCCCCAAAGGCCCTGCGCTTTTATGAAAGCAATCCACAGGGCACACATCCACACAATCTGTGTACAGGCAATTAATACAGCTTTCAGTCACCACGTGAGTCATGGAGATTTCCCATCTAATAAAAAGACGACTTGCAAAAAACACTATTGTATAGCGTGGCTCCCCTATTCTCATTAGAAAATAACATCCATGCGCAGTGACAAGGCTACAGCCTGATGACTATAATCGCGCTCTTGCAGATCCCATTTGCTGGAGTAGCTCAGTCGGTAGAGCAGCGCATTCGTAATGCGAAGGTCGGGGGTTCGATTCCTCTTTCCAGCACCATTTAAGTCTTTGATTTATAAAGGTTATTTTATTCTTCTATAAAAAAATTTACTTTTTTGTAATGCCACTACAGCTAAATTACAGCTACCCAGTGGCATTACAAAGTCTTGATGCATCGTAGCTGCAGTATGTGAATACCCCCACTGCGCCAAATGCGAAACAGATATTGCGCGTACCGCTGTACTAATCGAAATCTAATGCCCTAGCAGCTCCAACTCCCTTATCCTCATCTTGAAGCGCCACTTCCAGGACTGACCGAGCTTCTGGTGATAGGGGGGGTGCCCTGCTTCATACTCCACTTCTTTATTCTTTACTGCCCCCAATAAAATGTCTTTGCATATATTAAATAGTAAGTCATCGTGATATAGGGCGACCGCTGCTTGAACTTTAATTCTCTCATCCTTATCTTGCAACGCTACTTCTAAGACTGAGCGAATTTCTGGTAATAGAGGGCGGGGCTGACCCAATAGCAGGACCGTACGACATCTCTGCCCTGGTTCATAATCCCCATTTGTATCCTTTACTGCGTCCAATAAAATTTGCTTGCTGATAGCGAGAAATATGTGATGACAGCCTAGAAATAATTATATTTAAATACACATAGAAAATTGACGAGCTCAGGCTGCTTCTATCTAAGTTTTGCACTAAACTTATAATATATACATACCAAGTATGCAGAGAATATTAAGCAATTTTTTGTGATAGTGTTTTATATAAATGAAACGGAAAGCACAACAGCCTATAGCCAAATTCGACATGAGCAAAATAAAAAGATAAAAAAGCTGAAGCGTTCTGGGGATTATGCGTAAGTTCTGCCCGGCGCCGCAGAGCACAGAATGAATAGCAGCGCATAGTGTTTATTTTTATAGCAGATAGTTTATGTTGTACCGATCACGGGGTAGCGCCGGACAGGCTTGCTTCTAAGCTTGGGATCTCGCAGCAGACAATAAGGCCCCTTTTAGCGTGGGAGACAGTACAATTATAGTTTCCACGCCGATACAGAGCCTCCTTGCATCGCTGTTACATTCAATAATTCGTCTATCCAACTCAGATCAAATTTTCTTATAGAAAAATTTTTCTAGGCGGTTTATCGCTTATTTTTCACAAAAAAGGAAATTTTTATGGAAATTCCCATTTCCGAATCTACCCGACCATCATACACCAGCGCTACAACTATCTGGTCGTTTCAGGATAGATTTGAAGATACTAATATCATTGATCTAGACACTCGTTTTATAGGCGAATTTGTTCTTGAAAAATTAATGGAAAATTCCAAAGATCGTTTTTATTCAAATTACCTCGATACTCGAAAAATATCGAATTATGAAAGTCTAGAAACCATTCTTTTTTCTCTAGAAAGAAGCAAGATTTTCGCAGAAACTTGTCTAAAATTCGGCTCCCTTGAAATAATTGAAAATTCAAAAGTATTAGAAACGTCAGAAGACGAATATACTAAAACCCAGCTAGCATCTATTTACGGCACACGTCTCACCAATACTTTAGCAAATTATTTAACCAAAGTTATTCTTATTACACAAGGAATACCAATAAATGGCTTATCTGAGGAAGACTCAGAATATTTGACAAAAATATTCGAGCCATTTTCGTCTAATGAATCTTTAAAGAAATTACTACATACCTACGAAAAGCTCGAAGATATTATAAACACAGTTTACTTCATAACTGTTGTTATCGTCTCTTTATGGACAAAGAGTGGTAATCATGAGTCGTATGCGTATCTCACAGGATTTCGTCAAGCCTTATACTGTGAGGATGAAAATGAAGTTTCTATAAGGTATGAATCCGATCTTTTTTCTTCTGTAAGGCAAGGTGCTGGTATCGCCGTACCTGGCATTTCAGGCCCAGCCTTATATATAAACGACATAGATAAAAAATATAATAAAACACATAAAAATGGCAATAAATTAAATTTTATTATTACCGCAGAAATAGCCGAGTTATGTTATGGGATGATAGAAGATATGCATAATTTATTTAATAAAATTTTACCTGTCCAATCCGCAAAAATACAAAATGCTTCTGAAGCAAAAACATTAAATAATTCAAATTTATCAGCTTACAATTTTACTTGTGTAAAAAATGAAATTGCATACAAGTTTAATAAATTTCAAGAGGCCAAAAAAGCACTTCAAGAGATAGAAAAAGAGGGCATTCAGGAAAGAGAAAGCGTCAATTTTTCTTCTGTATTTAATAAATATGCTGAAGACAAATATAAAATATGGCTAGAAGCTTACAAAAAAGAGTCCAAACTTATAGCACAGGCAACACAATTTGCATGAATATATAAAAACAGCCAAGTGCAGTCCCAATAATAATGCTCAAGTGAATATCACCACAACTAATTACTAATATCTCAATTTAGTAAAATCTTTTATTGTTTTTAGCATAAGAATATAAGAACAAAGGAATGGGGGACTGCCTTAAAAGTTAGATTACATATTTAGCTTTTGAAGCAGTCTAAAACTCATCTCTTTTAAGCTTGCCAAAAGCTCTTCAAGCTAAAGTGTAGTTTGTGACTGGCCTAGTGCCGATATCTATTACATATATTTCGAATACTTTGGGTTCAATAGATTCTTCGGGCTTAGCTATGATAATCAAAGATATCTTTGCATCAGTCTTCTGCCAAGTTATTTCAGAAATAGAAGCAGGCACCTCGAACTCTACGGTGGCTTTAGCTTCATAGGTTTGCATAGACCACACCCGAATAATATTATCCTCACTGACTGAGGCAAGCCATTTGCTATCTTTAGTGAAGGCCATCTGAATTATCTTTGAGGTGCCTTCTTCTAATCTAAGACAAGGTCCTTTCAAAGTAGAGTCCTCATCACTTTGGTCATTTTTATTAATGAGGGTTATAATATTAGTGCCCCCATCAATTCGTCCGAATGCAAGCCATTTTCCATCTCGAGAATGAGCCACTGCGGTGATAGGTAGTTTTTCTGAAAAATTCCAAACTTTCTCTTCTATCTCTGAAGTTACCTTGTCTACTTTATATATTTTTGTAAAGCAAATTCCTTCCTCTCTGACGGAAGCTACCCATTTATTATTATCTGGAAAAATAATAGTTATAGGCAAAGAACTAGCCGTATCTGCATCATTAGAAGTTTTTTTATTAGAGCCCAGAATATGTTTTGCTTTTCCACCCACCACAGCCGGTAAGTTACTTTGCACTCTCGATACGATATCTTCTTCTAAAGAATTAAATCTACTCAATAATAATTGTTTGCCCGGAATATCATGCTCGATCACCCATTTCATATCCGATGATATTCTCACAGGTATAGGAGTAAGTGTTACGTCTTCGATGAATGGTAATGGCCGCCAAATCACACGTGGCTCACTTGCAATATCACAGCTCCACGCCCAAGCGATATTCATCGAGCGAACAAAAAGTAATTTACCGTTTGCTGACAATAAAAGATTAAAAAAATCAGCGTCAGAAATGGGGGTAAATTTTGAGAAGTCCTCTAAAAAATCTGCTATTACTGGAACTTTAGATACGAAACTTATTCCTTTTTGAACAAATGGAGGCATAAGTCCTTGGAATGAATTTACCATTCGCCTGTGATTATCACCATAAGGATCAAGTGGTATCGTTTTTCTATCAAAAGAGCGTATTTTTTCTAGTTTTTTACCATCTAACTGAATTTCATATATAAAAATTTCTCTAGAAGATGCGCTAGTTGCTGCCATTCTTTTCCCATTAGCAGACAAGGAAAATATATTGCAACCCTCATCAATTTTGCCTATACGATGGCTCTGGTTGATGGTTATCTTCTTTAGCTCCAATGGAGCAGGCTCAATAGCTGTAGCGCAATTAGCCGTATTAGTAGGTGCAGATGATAGGTAAATGCTACTTGTAGGTGGTGAAGATGATATGGGATTCATGTTTCTCTTATTGAGTACCAATAGGCAAAATGGAGCGATTCAACAGCGCTTTAACAAGCCGAAAGGCAGCCTTCTGAGGCCAGCTCACTGCTCTTTGATTTCGCAGCAGATCGTGAAGTTAAGTTGCTCATATTCAAAATGAGCCCTTTTGAATCGGCAATTCCCTCCCACCCATTCATAGGGAATGAAAGTAGAATTTTCTGCGATGGAAAAAGAGGAAATTTTACATGAAGAATGCATATTTTTAAGATAATTCTTAAAAATATTAGGGACTGGAATTGCCTCTTCCAGAGCTATGCCGTGAGCATGGGATGAGTTCAGCGCTGTTTTACAACTCAGCGCAATGGGAGGTTCGGTTTATACTTTTTATATTTGTGTAATGTCCAAGGCTTAACGATGGAAAACACCCTAACCCTTATCCTCACTACACTGCCCTCAAATGAGGCAGCTGAGATATTTAGCCGTCAGGCACTTGACGCGAAGTTAGCAGTTTGTGTCACACAATTTTCGCCAGTACAGTCCCGCTATTTTTGGCAAGGCGAATTCGAGGAAACAGAAGAGATTATGCTGCTTTTTAAAACTACTGCCGAAATAGCACCAGCGCTAAAAGAATGGATCACTCTCCATCATCCCTATCAAATTCCTGAAATTCTCAGCTGGCCTATTTCGGCCAACCCTGCTTATGCCCACTGGGTAATAGCAGGCGCCCAAAATCCAGCTATCTAAACTTTGTAAATCTGAAAAATTGCTTTGTTTAGGACTGATTTGCATATATTTATAAGTCAATCGGCATAGGGGGCAGCCTTCTGAGGCTGCACCCCTGCCAC